TGGGTGGAACACTTGAGGTCAGGAGTTCAAGACCAGCCTGGCCAACATGGCGAAACCAATCTCTACTAAAAACACAATAAAAAAAAAAAATTACCTGGGCATCATGGCACATACCTGTAATCCCAGCTACTCAGGAGGCTGTGTCAGGAGAATCGCTTGAACCCAGGAAGCAGAGGTTGCGGTGAGCTGAGATCACGCCACTGCACTCTAGCCTGGGCAACAGAGTGAGACTCCGTCTCAAAAATAAATAAAGAAAAAAAATAAGTTAGCTGGACATGGTGGTGCATGCCTGTAGTTCCAGCTACTCGGGAAGCTGAGGCAGGACTGCTTGATCCCATGAGACGGAGGCTACAGTGAGCTATGATCACACCACTATACTCCAGCCTGAGTGACAGAGCAAGACACCATCTGAAGTAGAAATAAGTAGTGATTTTTTACCTACAAGGGTATTCTGTGGGCTATTTGGTGGAGAACTATCCTGCACATTGAAGGTTGGTAAGTATCCCTAGTCTTCCCCCAATACCAGCAGCATCCTCACCCCCACCTAGCATTGTCACAGCCAGAAGAAATGGCCCTAACAAACTTCCAGAAGTCCCCTATGGGCCATACCATCCCCACTGAGAACCACTGATCTAAATCAAATTTTGTAAACTTAGGTAAACTTAGTTTTAGGTAAAAACAATCTCTGCAATAAAACAATCTGATAAGGAAAGTCCTTACCTCTTTACAACGAATGGAGAGAAAGGCTAGAGAGAAATTCTGTCATGGAAACTAGAGTCCTGTCAAATTTACTTATGAGACCTTTTCCTAAGTTAATTGTATCAATTTACCTGTGGTTTACTAGGTCACTGTAGCAAGTTTATTAATGGCCTCCAAAGATACTAGGTCCTAATCCCTGGAACTTGTGAATGTTACTTTATGTGGCAAAGTCTCTGAAGATGTGATTGAATCAATGGCCCTTGCTAAGAAGAGATTATCCTGGATTACTCTGGTGGTGTTAAATGCAATCACATGTAATGCAATCCTTATAAGAGGGAGGCAGAAGGAGATTTGACACAAATACACAGAGGAAAAGGCAATGGGAAGACAGAGCAGACTGAGTGGATGGTGCTGGCCTTGAAGATTGGAGTGAGATTCAGCCACAAGCCAAGGAATGCCAGCAGCCACACAAAGCTGGAAGAGGCCAGGAAGGGATGTTTCCCTATAGTGTCTGGAGGAAGCAAGCTCTTGTCCACACCTTGATTCCGGCCCAGTGATACTAAGTTTGTACTTCTGGCCTCCAGAACTGTGAGAATAAATTTTTGTTGTTTTAAGCCACAGTTTGTGGTACTTTGTTACAGCTGCCACTGTTACAAAGGAAACTGATTACAGGAAAATATGAGTTAGTAACAACACAGATAAAGACATTTTCACAGCTGACTTTCATTATTCCATTGCATATGTGTTCTTCTGTTAGAAAGGAGGTTTCCCTTTTTGGTCTCCTTCCTTCCAGCTTTCCACCCTATCATGTGAATGTGTGACAATGGGAGGCTTGGAGCTGTGGCAATCACCCTTGCCTCCAAAAGGGGAGAGGGAACATGAAGAGAAACACACAGTTCATGACAGTATCCTGATGTCGCCACACCACTGGACCTGCTCTGAATCCTCTAATCTCCAGACTGTTGATCTGGCGACATAATTAAATGTCTTAATTGCTTTGGCCACTATTAAGACTGTGTTACTTACTGCAGAATTCATCCTAATATAGAATTCCACAGACAATATCAAGACTGAAAATAAGAAATAATGACAGTCATGTTATTTAAAAATATGGAGGTATAGGCCCGGTGTGGTGGCTTACGCCTGTAATCCCAGCACTTTGGGAGGCCAACGTGGGTGGTTCACAAGGTCAGAAGATCGAGACCAACCTGACTAACACAGTGAAAACCCGTCTCTACTAAAAATACAAAAAATTAGCTGGGCATGGTGGCTTGCACCTTTAGTCCCAGCTACTCGGGATGCTAACGCAGGAGAATCATTTGAACCCAGGAGGTGGAGGTTGCAGTGAGCCGAGATCGCCCCATTGCACTCCAGCCTAGGCAACAAGAGCAAAAATTTTTTTTTTTTTTAGAGATGGAGTTCTTGCTATGTTGCCCAAGTTGGTCTCGAACTCCTGGCCTCAAGTAATCTTCCCATCTTGGACTCAAATTTTCCTTTTCATTTATTGATTTGTTAATTTATTTTTGAGACAGGGTCTCACTCTGTCCCCCAGGCTGGAGTGCAGTGGCACAATCATGGCTCATTGCAACCTTGATCTCCTGGGATCAAGCAATCCTCCCATCTGGGCCTCCCAAACTGCTGGGATTAAAGACCTTTTTTTTTTTTAATTAGTTTTATTTTTTTAGAGACAAGGTCTTACTCTCTCAGGCAGGCTAGAGCACAGTGGCATGACCATGGCTCACTGCAGCACACTCCTAGGCACAAGCAATCCTCCTGCCTCAGCCTCCTAAGTAGCTGGGACTATAAGCCTGCGCCACCACACTTGGCTAATTTTTAAATTATTATTATTATTATATGAGTCAGTCTTGCTCTCTCGCCTAGGCTAGAGTGCAGTGGCGCAATCTCCGCTCACTGCAAGCTCTCCGTCCCGGGTTCACGCCGTTGTCCTGCCTCAGCCTCCTGAGTAGCTGGGACTACAGGCACATGTCACCACACCCAGCTAATTTTTGTATTTTTAGTAGAGACAGGGTTTCACCATGTTAGCCAGGATGGTCTCGATCTCCTGACCTCGTGATCCGCCCACCTCA